GTTGCTGGATGCCCATATAGTCGACCATGGTTCGTGTCCCGGACCCGGTGGCTTAAACTCATCCGGGCACGTGTGCGTGCATGCTCAAAATCCCGGGAGAACGAAGGAGAAGGGATTGCGGCGTGGCCATACCCCCTGGGGGGTGATTTCTTGCCTTCTGTCTCTCTGTCTCTCTCTGTCTGTCTGACGAGCACATGCGCCCCATAGCAAAAACCTCTCCAAAATAAATAAATAAATAAATAAATCTCAAATTTCCCCCAAAATGATATAAGTTGCATTTGCTAATCAGAGTAAGATAAAACTCAAGATTAAAATAGAAACATGATCTAATTTTTTAACTTTATTTATTTGTTTATTTTAATTTGACTAGAGAAGGACAGAGCAAGAGAGACAGAGAGGGATAGTGAGAAAGCAAGCCCCCAGATCTGGAACTTGAACCTCAGTCCGCCATGTGGGAGTCCAGCACCTTTAACTACCATGCCACCTACCAGCCCATAAAATTTTTTGTAAGAGATATTTTTGCTATAGCATGTGTGCACTCGCCAGAGAGAGAGAGAGAAAGACAGAGACAGAAAGAGAGAAATCACCCTCCAGTGTGTATGGCCATGCTGCAATACCTTCTCCTCCATTCTCCTCTTGTGATTTTGGGCATACACATACATGTATCCAGTGTGAGTTTTAAGCTTCTGGGTCTGGGTCTTGAACCGCAGTCAACTACATGGGAATCCAGAGACTTAACCATTATGCCATATACTAGTCCCCGTGATCTAAATTTTTCTAAATTCTCAAAATCTTAGGCATCCTTCTAAAACTTGGCTTGAAGATGAAATCAAAATTAAAAAAATGAAGCTATTCATCAACAAAGACAAGAGAAGCACTACACAGACACTGATAGTAAACCCATTTCTTAGGGTCAGCCTGAGCCAGGGGGTATGTGGAACAAGGGGTGATAACCTTTAGCTGAAAGAGAAATTATAATTTCAAATTGGACTATGTTCAAGTAAATTTGAACTGAGGATGTCTCCTACCTTGAGTTCCTATGTAAACTGCAACCCAGCTTAGTATGTAGACAAATAGAAGGACTTTTATAACAAAGAGCTGTCTCAGCCAATTACAGTAGCAGAGCTTCAGCCAATCACCAGCAGCCAAGTGATCAAACCATATTCAAATGAGGAAACTGGAGCTGTGGGTAGTCAAACTATTTTTGTACCTCACTTCTTATTTTGGTACCTCACCTCCATTTAGTCCATAAATACCTCCTACCGGTGTTGAAGAAGGGAGATTTCTCAACCTCTTCTGGGTTTGAAGAGGCTCAAATTCTTGAATCCTTCTTTGCTCAAATTAAATGCTATTAAATTTAATTTGTTTGAAATTTTTCCTCTAACAATTAGAATGAAATAACAATATTAGAAAGTTCAGATATCTTCCCAAATTAGAGAGACAGGACAAAGAGCGCTCATGGAGGGAGAGAAAGAGGAGACCCCTAAGTTACTCCTGGTTGTTCCTATTCAGCTCAGTTCATTTAATAAACAAACTACATGTTGTTCATTATGTTATTTAAAATATTTGAAAAAATAGAGAGTTTAGCTTAAAATTTTTATTATATAGGCCATCTAAATGACAGCTGCTTTCCTTCTTCATACTCTACGTTTGGCCTGTCCAGGCCCCAACCCACTCTAGTTCCTCGCAAGCGTTAAAGAAAGCTGGTAATGACGATTATATATTTTTCCATTTATAAAGACACTTATCAGGAATAGCATCAAACTGTTGCCTATGTTTTTCAATCTTTTCTCAGTTCCCAATTCTTGGAAAAAGTTGTGAGACTATGCTATATAGGCTCAAAACAGCGTTCAGATTTAAGATGACCATGAATGTCAAGGCCAGTAGCAATGGCCTTTTAATAGATCATTTCCAGTGATCTAACATAGGGAGAAGAGTGATCTGATCCTCTTCCTTTTCACCAGTACCTTAATGGCTTGCTTTGTCTTCAGAATTAGCTTTATTCCTCCCTATTCTTCTGTGTAGTCACTGATAACCTTTTAGAGTAAATACATTCATTTTGTCTCTCAGAAAAACATTTGCAACTAGTTTGTCTGGGCACATCACCAGGTATCTTAATCTGCTTCCCTAAATTATAATTTGGGAAGATTCCTAAACTTTCTAGTCTTTTTAGTTCATTCTAGTCCCATTGGAAACTGCAAGCTCTCGTCCAGTGTGCAGTGGTTAGCAGGAGATTCTGTAGTTCCCCCTTTATTCACAGGGGGTATATTCCATGTATCCGAGTGGATGCTGGAAACTGACTAGTTCCAAACTCTTTTCCTCCCATATATTGGGTTGTGGAAAAGTCATGACACATTTCTGCATAGAAAGACATAAAAAATTCTGACGACCAATATAATACCTATAAAAAAGTTTAATTTCTAAATTAGACATTGTAAAAGATTAAAAACAAGTACTACTAATAAAGAACTATTATGACAATACATTGCAATGGAAGTTACATGAATATAGCTTCTTTCTCAAAATATGGTACTGTGCTTACTTACTTTCAGACTGCAGTTGACTGAGGGTGATTAAAACCATAGAAAACAAAGCAGAGGGTAAAGGAGAACCACTGTATTAGATACTGGAACTTTTCATTAATAACCTCAGATGTTTGCTGATAAATACTTTAAATCATTCAGATGACATTATCACTCCATAATCTATGGTGCAAATCTGTTGAAGTAGACTTACCACAGTTTTCTGGGAGAGAATATGAAAACCAAACATATTCTTGGTTCTATTTATGGGCTTTCCCTTTGTACTTCTGTCTTGTCACAGAAAACCTTCAACCTAGCGACAGATTCTACTTAGCAAATCTCAGCCTTCTTTAATAGATGTCAACCATACTCTCAGCTCATCTACCTGGCAAAGTATGTGGGCCTATTGATAATCAGAAACCCAGGAGTCAAGCACTGCAAATACTTGCCAGAAATAAAACCTATTTTGCACTCACAGACGTCAAATGCTTGTGTAATCAAATCTCTGATATGAGAAAAAACATTTATGGGAAACTACCTGAAGAGTATATAGTCCTCGATACTCTATTTCTCTAAATGTAATAGATATAGTTGGACTTTTTGATAACATAACACCTTTACAGTATATATTTTGACAACATAGCACGTATTCATGTTAAATATTAGGATACATTTTCTTAAGTTTTGGTGTTAAAAATAGATATGCTTTAACAAATGTATTATTATTTTTTAATGTCTACAATGTACCAACTTCATAACTGATCTCCCTCTCTGGGTCAGGCACTCGAAACTTAATGCCAAATTTGTGACAAACTTTGACCAGTGCATGGACCCTCAAAAATATATGCTACTTCTTAGTTTTATTTTCTTTTTCCTCCTTCTTTTTTCTTTCTAATTTCATGATTCATTTTCTTTTGTTATACACGATGCAATTTTAAGCTATCTCAAGCCTTTCTTAGGACAATGTGAGGTATAAATAAAATTCGAGACTAAGGACTCAGAATGACTGACACAATGTCCCGGCAACTTCACAAACAGCTAGAGTCCTTCTCAGTTTTTCTGGTGTCATGAGGATACATGCTGAATACGTAAGATCCACAATAACACTGAATGTATCATTAAGCAAGGCATGGTAGCACTTGCTTTTCCCTTTAAGACACGAATGATGCAAGACCAAGGAAACTGGCAGAATGGCTGGGCCAGTCACTGGGTAAGGCTTGTGATATTGTCACCACCACATTGTCAACACCTTAGTAGAAAAACCATCAATAAGTCCAACAAATCTAGTACTGTCTTCCAAGTGAGCTGGATGACAGGAAGTAGTAATCAGCTAAAAAAGGGCATTTGCAGCCTTTTTTTTTTTTCTTTTTTTCTTTTTAAAGAGTTACTTTTGCTATAGAGTGTGGACACTCAAAGTAAGAAATCATCCCTCCAGGGAGACTGACCACACCGCACTATCTTCTCCGCCATCCTTCTCTCTGGATTTTGCGTACACATACACACATGCCCAGTGTGAGTTTTAAGTTGCCAGGTCCAGGACTTGAACCACAGACGATTACATGGGAGTCCAACAACATAATCATTACACAATCTGCTGGCCCCTCAGCATTTACAGCTTTAACTCCTGTACTGAAGAAACTGTTCTTGGTTGCTGAGTGGATTTTGGCTCTGGGCATAGGGTTGAAGTGAAAAGAAGTTGAATAGATTTTCTTGAAAGAGCAGAAGGAACGACATTTTCAACATATAGTTGGCAAACAATGCAGGCACTGTTCAGTGAATGAACTAGCTCCAGAGTTCCCTCTAGTGGTGTGACTGTTCAAGTCACATTTCCACATGCCCAGCAATACGGTACCATACTATTTCCCTTCTTTGCAAACCAACAAAAATAACACGGTAGCCATCCAACTGTAGTTGGAAATTTTCATTTTAAATTCCCTTGGATTTTTTTTTAAAGCCAAGACATAGAGCTCTTATAATGTGCCAGGTGCTATTCTAAGAACCTCACAAATATTAACTTGCTTAATTATCATAACAACCCTATGAAGTAGGCAGGCACTATCTTCCAGTTTTTTTACAGATGGGGAAGGTGAATCACAGAACTTTCCAAAGGTCATATAGCTATTCCATATGTTCCTCAGAACAGCAATATGGATTAGCAGGAGTAGGGGAACACACAAATGCATTAAGCCCAAAGTTGGTAAAATAAAACAAAAAGTAAGAGTAGAGTAATATAGAGGCTGGCAGATTGGAAATTGGAGAACTTGGACTCAAGTTGTCTCTCTGCTACTGAATAACCGTGTAAGTGAGGTGGTTATAAACTCTTTGAAAGAACTAAAAGTAAATAAAATAAGTTTAAAAATTCTTCAAAAGAACAACAACAAAAAAAAAGCCAAAAGCTTTTTGATTTAGATATGCCCCCTACATTGATACTTCTCTGATGAGGAAACATAACACAAGGCTTATCCACAGGATACTTACGACAACTCTGGTATACACTTCTTCAGCAAAGTCGATGCTCTGGAATCTGTGTTCTGTGGGAAACGTGTACTTGGTCAGCCAGTCCAAAAGAGGCAGGTCAACATTACTTCCAGCAAAAGAATACTGAGGGGCATGGATGTGTGTATCCACCAGCCCAGGCATAAAGAACTCACTGGAAATTAAGATGAGAGGAAAACAGTTAATAACATCTTTCATCATTTTCCACATCTTCAAATCGTATTTTCTCTCAACAGTGATTTAATTGTTCGCCCACACAGGTTTGTAGTTGATGCGATCAGACGGCTGTACAGTTTCCTGTTATAGAGAGATCAAGGAATAAAAATGAAGCCCGCCAGGAAAGATGTCGTTCCTAGGTTGGGATGGCTGGTGGGGAGTTAACCAGTGATGACAAAAGGAGGCAAAACCCCAGCACTGAGAAGCAAAGCTGTCTAGCACAAGGAAGGAGAAAAACGATGTATAATCCTGTGATTTTACTGTAGGGTAGAGAGACAAAAAGGAAGGGGGCTTGAAAAGTCCTAGGCCACACAGGAATGTATAAGTCACCAAAGGTGGCTAAAGATGAGAAACTGCTTGGTTTCTCATAGACTTCCATAGACATTGCGGCCATCTTGACTTTGGCCCGCTACAAGAAAACTGGTCCTTTCACATGTGATGTAGGAGCTGAGTTCTGAAATCAAAGCAGCAAGACAAAACTGGTAAGGCCTGGCTACGAAGGATCAAGTGATCTGAGGAAACAGGAGCACAAAACGGCAGCAGTATGAATGGTTAAGTGAAGAGGGAGTTGTGATACTATGACAATCATTCTCAGAGCGCTTCTGATCAGAACAGCTGTTGCTCGGAGCCACCTATCAATATGTCTGCTAATTTTAATCATAGGAAGACCTAGAAAGATGTTTCTAAAATTTGCAGAAGCACCACCCACAGAACTGAGGCAGCTTCAGAATTCAAGTCTTTCTAAAGAGCTAAGCCAGGTCCCATGTTGTGGCATATTCGGTAGCAAACTAAACTGCAGTACTGGAAGCCACATAGCTGACTCTGGGCTCTGGTTTCCATCCCTGAGTAGGCCTGAAAACACCCTGGGCATGTGCCCACCTGCCCCAAATCCTAAAGAGCTGGAAGGCTGGGGAATTACAGTGTGACAGAACCCTGTCGAAGGTGCTTCTCTCTGCTTCTCTGTCTCTGTCTCTCTTTCTTTCTCTCTCCCTCCTTCTCTCCATGCACACACACATGCTTCTATCATAAATAAATAAACTTTAAGAGTAAATCTAGCTCACTATCAGCAGTAAGTGTCTAAGTTTATCCAAACAGATAGTTTCCAGAAGATGGCATATGCACTAATACCACCATTACCTTGAGTAGACATTGGGCTGTCAGAAAAGTCATGACGCGTGGCTTTTCCAACATCCCAATGTGAAATCATGCAGGGAATTGGCATCACAAAGAACCCCTTATACTACCAAATCAGATGTATATATATCACTTAAGCAGAAGATAAATAGAGCCATGAGTAGCTCTAAATGCTTTATTTAAAAGAGAGCTGGAGGCCAGCTGGATCTGGTGGTTAAGGCAGCTAGATCTCACATAGCCGACTATACAGTTAGAACTCCAGACCTGGTGGCTTAAAAACACACCAGGGGAGTCTGCATTCATGCCCGAAGTCCTGAGAGGGAAATGGAGGAGAAGGGATTACAGAGTGACCAATCCTTCTGAAGGAGTCATTTTTTTTTTCCCTCTCTTTCTCTTCTGAGTGTACAAACTACAGCAGATTACAAAAAAGAGAGAGAAAGAGAGAGCTAGGAAAGATGGCAATGATGATGATGGTAATGGTGACAGCAACTAAACTTCTGTTGTTGTTGATTTATTTCCAAAGAGAGAAAGAAAAACAAAGACAGACGGCCAGAAACATCAGTAGGGTCTCACACGGCAATTTTCTCCCCAGCCCTTCACCTAGCTACAATCAAAGTGTGTGTGCCACAGGACATGGACAGGGAAACCTAGGCACCAAATTCCAGTCTCCCACCGGCTCCGTCATTGCAGAGTTAGCTTTACTGCTGCCTTACCACACTGGGCCAGCAGCAACGTTTACTGAATGCCTCCATGAGCTGGGCACTGGACACAGCATTTATGTGCATTATCTCATCTGTGGGAAGCAGCTTATTGTAGGGACTAAGTGCAAATATTCTGGACTCAGACTGCCTGGATTTGAACTTGGGCCCCACCATAAACTGGCAGTGGCATATTCTGCATGTTATTAAACACCCCTGTGACTTGATTTTTCTTTTGTTAAAATGGGAGTAGTCGTCTCATCACAGAGCTGCCATGAGGACTGAGTCAGTATGTGGAAGAATGTGCTTAGATAATGGAAGGCATTGGTCAATGCCAGTGGCGATGATGACGATAGTGTAAGGCTCACGGCAACTTATGACGTATGAAAATATCGTTCCCTCATTTACAAAAAAGTAAGCTAAAGCTCAGGAAATTTAAGCAGCTTCACATAAGGTAACAATTAATTAGCTGGGCTTGGAGGTAAGATTCAAACCCAGGCATTTTTTTCTGTTCATTTAGTACTCTTGATCACTACGTCTCATGGGAAAGTATCACTAGTGCTTTAATGATGGAAATGAAGGACAGTGACACCTCGTAAGTATGACAGAAGGGCAGCAGTGAGTGGGCATACATGAGGAGCATGCAGAGAGGAGGGTGAGAGGTCGACTCCTCCCGAGAGTCAGGCCAACCTCTCCAGGATACATCTGTCCTTGGGGCTTTTATTTTTCTCTACCACTCAAAGATGGCATGGGAGTGTGACTTCTACATGCAGTTGGATCATTCAGTTAGACAATATTTCCCAAGTATGTTATATGTTTAAGAAACCCTGCTTAGCCTCATGGGGAACCCAAAGATCATTAAGGCATCTTCCTTCCTTCCTTCCTTCCTTCCTTTTCTTTTTCCTTTTCTTTTTCTTTTTTTTTTTAATTTTTGCTATAGGGCACCCCTGCTTGCTGGAGACAGACAGAGTCAGAGAGGGAGAGAGAGAGAGGGAGAAAGTGAGAAAGCACTTGGGAGGGAGATGGCTGGACCACAATCCCTTCTCCATTCTCTTCTTGAGATTTTGGGTGCACATATGTGCCTGGTGTGTTTTTCGAGCCCGTGGGTTAGAGACTCGAACCTCATAGTTGGGCACATGGGATCCAGCCACCTTAATCTCCACACCATCTGTTGGCCCATATAAGGCATCTTCTTATCCCATGTGTGTACGCACACACATTTGTATGTATGAGAGAGCAACAGCTGGTCAAACATAAAACTTTGAACAGCACCCTTTCCGTAAGGGTGAGACTTAGAAAGAGAAGGTCATGGTTGATCTTGACAGAGTTGCCATCTGGGGAGAGAGGGAACCCAGGACACAGAGGTGCCAAGGAGAACAACGAAGAGACAGGAAGGGCCGGATAGTGACCTGCCTGTGCCAAAAACTGAGGGTCAAGGATGCCAGGCCTCAGGAATGACCTGAAACCCCAGTGTGATGATCGGGGGAGACACTCAATTTCAGAAGGATTTAAACCTTCATTTAAAAAATACTTATTGAGCCTTTAGCACATTTTAGCTACTGTCCAAGGTGCTGAGGGGAGAGTGATCAACATTAAGAATGGGTATTAAACAAAGCACTGAGGGGAGAGTGTTATTAAACAAAGCACTGCGCAAATGGAGACCTGTCTTCAAAGGATCTGGTAGTTACAGCTAGGGTGCAGAAGAGTGCAAGTCAATTTGTGTTTTTCATGTAGGAGAAATGTGACCACGACGATCAGGTAGCAGAGATGAAAGGATGAAGGAAATAATTCATGATACGAAGTCTTCAGAACCATAAGAAGAACAGGCATTTACTGCATCTGAAGTGTGACCTCATCTGGAAAAGTGACAATCCTTTTAAGGAAGTAGGGAGCACTGTGAAATACTTATGAATAGAAAGAATCACATAATTGAAGGATTTGGTCCAGGATTTATTACTGATACTTATACACACAGAGACGGAGAATGTGAGAGCTGCATGTGAGATTAGAGGTCACTGAGCCAACTACTCATTTTACAGAGAGTGAAAGGAAGTTCAGGAATGGCAAGCTCATTTTCAAATTTGCATTATTTTTTTTAATTGCCAGAGGGCATGTGTGCTCACCAGACAGACACAGAGAGAGGAATAGTGGGAAAGCACCCCCAGTTGGGGCATGATCGCACCACAATCCCTTATCCTCCATTTCTATACTGTTGGGATTTGGGGTATGCACACACATGTGTCCAGTATGTTTTACAAGCTGCCAGGGCAGTGTTTGAAATGAGGATGGCCATATGGGATCTGGCTCCCTTAGCCACTAAGGTATGGGGCAGGCCCCAGATTTTTAATTTGTTAGTAGCCCATCCAGGATTAGAACTCTGTTCTCTACTCACGATATCACTTAGAGCTAAGTCATAGCCTCAAAAACCCACTGCTGGGGCAAAGCAGAGAACAGTTTTAGAGGCTGCAGCAGAAGGTGAGAAAGCGTCTCTCTCCCTTCTATTCTTCAGCTTTCCTCTTCCCACTTTACTTAATCACCATAACTCTCTTAGAAAATCACACATTCCCCCAGATAAAACCATCAGTTTCATATTCCAAGCCTGCAGTGCGGCCAAACCCTCTCATAACCTGAGGGAAAGAACAATATTCATGCCTATATACACTCATCAGAACAACAACCCAACTTTTAGCCAAGTAATAAAGTAATAAAGCTCTACAATTGACCAGCTGGGATGGTGCAGTGGTAACGCAGCCCTCCACGACACAGAGGCCAGACGGGAAGGCCCCAGGTTTGCATCCTGAGGTTTTTTTGTGGGTACTGGCCATGTACTTATGCCTGTGATCCTGGCCAACTCGGGTCACGGCATAAAGACCTGATTACAAGTGCCTGTCTCCTCTCTCTCTCTCTCTCTCAGAGGTTTTTGCTATAGGGTGTGTGTGCTCGCCAGAAAGACAGAGAGAGACAGAGAGACAGAAATCAAGAAATCACCCCCCAGGGAGAATGGTCACGCCACACTCCCTTCTCCTCCATCCTCCTCTCAGGATCTTGGGCACGCATGCACACACACCCGACGTAAGTTTAAGCCACTGTGTCTGGGACTCCAGCCACGGTCAATTGCATGAGAGTCCAATAACATAGCCATTACGCCAACTGCTGGTCCCAACAAGTGCCTATTTCTCTTTCTCTCTCTCCCTCTATGTCTCTCTCATAGAATAAATACATAAACCTTAAAATAGTAATTTTAAAAAACCTTTTAATAATCCAAACACATGACTATGTAAAAAGGCCTGTGCTGCCTGGTCTGTTTACACACTTTGTCACCCTCAACAACCTGCCCCGCTATGGATACCATAGCTTTTGGGACTGGAAAACTCCCAGATGTTAAAAAGGACAGCTCCATTGCACAAAAGCATGATGCAGTAAAATAAATACCAATATCCTGTCTTTATTCAAAACGTTAGTATTTTGTCCATCGTGGATTTTTACACTGATTTTTATTCTTAAAAAATATTTCACCAAAGTATTATTTATTCTGACTACTGAAATTCTGTCTTCCCTATCACCCTTAAATTTCATATGTGAGGTGAATCCTAGCCCTGCAAACTTGCCTATGGTCTGTGGTCATAACCTGATCCACTCCCACCAAAGCATGGTCTATAGTACTCTAGTGAGAACTTTCATTTTTGAAAAATCCATTTGGTGCTGAGATAACCTTGCAGATACACTGGGTGTCGGGCCAAGTCTATTAAAAAGACTGTCAGAGGCATCTTCTATGACATTTTAATCATGACTTAAAGAAATTTAACTCCACATATCTTATGTTTCACATGAGAATTACTTTGCATTTCAAATACATTTTTTTTCTAAAGACATGAGTCATCCACCAAAATGTAAATTATTTCTTCCCTTACTACTTCTCTGTGTGCTGTGATTGCAGGTTCCCAGAGGTGTTGTTGTGGTGGTTGCTTTTATATATTTAATTTCAAACATGACCTCTTAAATAGGGTCAAAAGGACTTGAAGACCCACAGATATAGTCACCAGTCCCCCCATCCCCTCCCAGACTCCATTTTATCTGTGTTCAAGTTTCTAATTCTCCATCACAAAGCCAAGCAAATAGGTGATTAAATGTCAATTGCTCCTCAACACAGTCTCATGAAAATCCAAGAGGGGGGACATGGTAGCAGCAAAAGTGAATTAATTTCCATGCCCAATGCCTCCACACTGCCAACCTGATAGAGAGGCTGAGGGGGGAGAGGAAGAAGTAGAGGAGCATAACTGCCTGCAATGACACCTGAAGGACAGTTGCCCTGTCTCTCTGGCTACAACCAGAGCTGAGGTTAATAGCTCAAAGAGAAGCAATTTTCTTTACTTCTGGTCCTACAAAGCTGTTTCATGAGGACTCAAACCAAGTGCTTTAAGTCCTGGTTTAATGTTCTTTTCACTACATTACCTTCAAGTCAATTCTCAACTTATGAAAGTGATTTCAGGGACCAGCAGTTGGTTTAATGGCTATGTTGCTGGACTCCTATGTAGTCAACCATGGCTCGAATCCCGGACTCGGTGGCTTAAACTCATTCTGGGCATGTGTGCGTGCATGCCCAAGATCCCAAGAAGAGAACTGAGGAGAAGGGATTGCAGCATGGCCATCCCCCTGGGAGGTGATTTCTCTCTATCTCTGTCTCTCTCTGTCTTTCTGGCAAGCACACACACCCTATAGCAAAAACTTCTCAAAAAAATGATTTCAGAATAAATATGGTATTATTTTCACTGGCTTTGGAAACATAGTTGACCTGAACAAGAGAAAATATTTGAGCTTTAGAGGATTATCTCCAGGCCCGCCAGAAGCATGATAGTAAAAGTAGAAGGATCCCACATGGCTGCCTGCATGGTTTGAGTCTCATAGCTGGTGGCTTGAAAAACATACCAGGTGCACGAATATTTGCCCCAAATCCTAAAATAGGGGAGAAATGGAAAAGAAGAAACTTCAGTGTGACCGTACCTCATAAGGATGCTTTCTCACTTTCTCTTTCTCTCTGTCTCTCTCTGGAGAACATGTGTGACCTCTGGCAAAATTTTCAAAAGAAGAAAGAAAGAAAAGAAATTATTTACCTCTGCTATGAAATAAATTAACCAGACTATGAAGACAGTGGGTTGATCTCAGGACAAAACATTGTGTACAAATATTTAACACTGAAATCATAGCTCAAATGCATTTCTGGATACAGGTCTGCCCTCTCCACAGTGTCATCATACTACTCCTCAAATTCTCTTTCCTCCCTACTTCCTGATAGTTTATCCATTATATTCCATTCCATGCTTGCTTCGTTTAGAGAAGCTATCACAACCTACCACTGCCATGCTTACACATCTGTCTATTTGTTTAGGGTCAGTGTCACTCATGGTCTGTAAAAACCCTTAAGGACAAGGACTGTCAAGATCTTTTCACCTCTAGATTCTAACATTATATATGGTAAACTCAATGAATATTTGCTGAAAGAATAATAATGAACGATGACAGCCTCTAGGTCTCAATGTTTCAGTTCTTTGACTTCCTGATCTCTTTTCACCTTCTTCCCACCATTTCCCCCATGAATAAATAAACAAGCAAAGAAGCTCCTCTGTCTCTCGAAACAGATTTCCTAAGTCAAGCCTAATGGACAGCACCCAAGAGAAAGGAAGAAGTTGAAGATGACTTACTGGTGACTTAGTTCTCTTATTTCACATGGCTTGAAGCACCATTCTTTGGCCAGTTTTTCTTGTTGAGATGCTTCTTCTAGAAACACTATCTTTAAAAGAAAGAAAGGAAAGAAAAGAATCACATATTAATGAACCATTGTCACTTGTCATCATTAAATATAAAAAATATTAAAAAGAAACATTTGTTTTAAAAGGTACTTGAAACCAAATAGGATATAGTTTGAAGAGAAAAAAGACAGGAGTTTGTGTCTGGTCATCTAAAGAAGTAAACTGCGTGTAATTTCTCCTTTTCTAACATACTTCAAAAGTACTTTAAAAAGTTCATGGAAAAATTAAAGTATGAATTTATTTTGGTGCCCAAAAAACCCCTGAAATCCATGTATACTGTTTTCACAATATTTATTTACCATGAATTTTTTGGAGACTTCTCATATAGCTATAGGAGACTTCAAAAATTCTACCTTGAAGATACAAGGTATTAAAAATGGCTTTGGGCAGGCAGGTAGCATGGTGGTTAAGAGCATTGGACTCCCACATGGCTGACTGTGGTTCCAGTCCTGGACCTGGCAGCTTACTTTCTCACTTTCTGTATGTCTTTCTGTCTCTCTCTCTCTCTCTCACTCACTCTGCTCCTCTCTGGTCAAATTTAAATAAGTAAATAAAGTTAAGTAAAATAATTCTTTAAAAAATATGGCTAATTGGTATCTATTTCTCACCCATCTCTGAGAATGATTAAGGGAAACAATTGTTTATAAAAAATGTACCTTAGGTCAGGTGAGTTAAAGATGTTATAGGAAACCCAAATCCAGAGTACAGTAGTAGTGATATCATGGAACAATTACTAAGACTAAAGATAATGGCATGTGGTCATCCCGAACAATGGCGTCTAGGTGTGAAGTATGTTTATGTTCTGTTGTCAGACATCTGCTATCAGGAGGTCTGCTATGTCTCTTTAGTATCATGTGTGAGAGACATTACAGCAAGGTAAGTTAGAGAATGAGCTCTAGAAAGATAGTGTTTCTAGGCTTGTGGGGTCTGAAACCCAAAGGTACCAGCTGGGCAACTGTGGATAGGTCTCTGAATCTTTCTTGGGATGGTTTGTCCTGTCTGCAAATTGGGTGAAACACCAGTACATACTTCCCAGGGCTACCATGAGGACTACATATGATAATTCAGGTGATGAAATTAGCATATGCCTGAAACAGGTTAAGTGCTAAATAAATTACATCTATTGTTGATTTTTTAAAGAATAGTAAGATAGCTTTCTCTATAAAAATGAATTGTGAAGTTAGAGAGGACAGGGAAAAATAAAATTTATAACCAAGAAATCTCTTTTCTTGAAATGCAATATTGTGGGGAAAAAAGTTTTATAAGAATTCAATATTGAATAAATACAGGTAGATAAAATGTATCTAATTAGAAGCAAGATAACACATCATAGAAAAAATTATTTATGGGATTGAAAAGAAAATAAATATTGACTCCTTTATTAATTGAAATATTCTTTTTATAATATGTACATATATAAATATATATAAGAATTGGGATTTTTATCAGAAAAGAAAATGAAAATATAACCCTAATAACTACAAAAAAGTAATTAGATGATTCTAAAGGAATACTAAAATTAAATAAGCATTAGAAAAGAGGAATCAATACATATCAAAGCAGATTCATAATTAATAAAAAATAGGCAAAAATTTATCAATGTATCTTAGTTGGTTTACTATAAACTCAATAAATAAATAGATAAATACACAAATGAAGATAATATTGTCTTGGTCAAGCATGATAGCCACACATTTGAAAATATATCTGAAACAAATGGTTTTTAAGGAAAATATAAAGGATCAAAGTTTGCATTAGAGAAAAAAATTGAGTGAGCCAGTAACTCTAAAAGAAGCTGAAGTCTTAGTAACTCTTTAGGAAAGTTTCCAGTTCAGAGAAGTGCTGTCTAATAGAAATGCAACAAATACAAACATCATATGAGGAGACTTCAAAAAGTTTTTGGAAATACAGAATTAAAGTACAATTTTGGTGCAAAAACTTTTGAAATCCATAGGTTCTTCATAATGTGCATTTTCCATGAACTTTTAAAGACCTGCCCTACCCCAACAAGCACACAAGTAATTTTAAATTTTCTAATAGCAACACTGAAAGTGTAAGAAGGAACGGGTAAAATTAATTTTAATAATGCTTATTTAATATAACATACATAAAAGATTATCATTTTAACATGAATTCAATAAAGAAATTCTTAGTTTTACTTTTTCTTTTGGTATTTACCCTTAGTCTGCAGCATATAAGTCTCCATTATTCCAATCAAACTAGATATATGTATCAATTTATACCAATTTGTTTAGTAGTTAGGCAAAGGCCCAACCCTTTGAAGATGACTAGACTAAAACCACTTACTCTCCTTGTTTTCTTAGTTGACACCCAAATTACAATTCACCAGTTCCTCACATATACTCCAAGGATGTTGATTTATACCATTATTTTCATAAAGTTCTGTACATCCTTACCCCTGAACAAACTCCTGTTGTTGTCCACTTGTCAGACCCTTTGCTGTGGTTCCTTGCTACTGTCCCTCCATATGCGACAACCTCCCTTATGTCTTCAACATCTGTTCTGAGTTTCCCACTCTTGGTAAGTGATGCTTTCCCCAGTACAGGACTTTTGTGGCACTTATCAAATGGCAGGCACTCATACATCAGTCAAGCAGTGAATTCAGTATCCTCCAGCCCCCCACCATGGCCATTTCTAAATCTGCTGTGAAACTCTCGCCTTTTGGTTTCAAGAGCATCTTTCCTCTCTGATATTCTCCTTTACTAGCCTTTCCCTCGTTCTTCAAATTTGCAAATGTTTGCTTCCTACTCATCCTCTTCACCAGAAGCATTGCCTCCCTTCCTTGTGGTTTCAGTTCTTCTGAAGACCATGGACACCTATGAACTCAGCTTCAGTGATTTGTTCTACTACACTTCAGTCACAAAACCCATGACTATGCCTTGGAGAGGATCATAACTGGCCACTTATCTGCCTCCAAAACCACTAGAGCACACATCTGACCACACTCTCCCCTCTTGCCCATTTGCTACTTCGACTACTACAACCAATCTTTCCCCTTCAAGACTACTACAACCAATCTTCCCCCTTTATTTTCTCTCCTCTACTTTTCCCCAGTTCACCAGCCTTCTTCTTTCACCATTTCCCTTGTCCAGGTTGCACCATCTGATATTCCATGTGTATGCTGAGTTTTAGTTAACACTCATCTGGTAAAATTCCAACCCTAACAAACCCAACTTTCCTTTCCTCAAGGCTTCACCTGAGTAGGCAGGCAGTGTTGGAGCAAGGTGTACCCCCCATGGATGGGATAGCCACAGTCATAGAGCCCAGATGTTCTCCTACCAATAGTTGTGCCTGGGCTCTATGTCATTTCTATAGTACTGTGGTCTTTATTGTCAATTAAATCAATGCAAAACCTAGTCCCTATCAACTGATAGATCATTACAGATATATTCTGGTGATAGATTAATATACAATTTTTATCAACTAACTTAGAATGTCAACAAATTGAGAGATATTATACAACAAAACTCTTTCCAATCCCACCTGCTTACTTGATTTATATGAAAATATTTCTCAGTATTCCCATCTGTAAAAATGAAAAATAAGAAAAACTGAAGCTGCCCCTAGTCTATGCTACAAACAATTAACACTTATTCATGGAATGAAATGAGTGTTTATGAATGAGTGTTAATGGAATAACACCCTGTTTATTTCACATTTAACATATAATCTTTCAAAATTTTCTAATATACTCAGGAAATTTTAAATGTTCAGATTAATGCACACTTTATTTTTAGAGAAATTTTTGTTATAGGGCATGTGTGCTCACTGGCAAGACAAAGACAGAGACAGAAAGCAAGAAATCATCCCCCCAGGGGTGTGGCCATGATGCAATCCCTTCTCCTCCATTATCCTCTCAAGTTTTTGGGCATACACACACACACACACACACACACACACACACATGTGCCTAATGTAAGTTTTAAGCCATTGGATCCAGGACTCAAACTGCAGTCAACTTCGTGGGAGTCCAGCAAGGTAATCATTATGCCATCTGCTGTTCCCTAGGCACACAAATTGTATTGCAATGGTTGATCAATAAAAATCTTTCAAGCTCCTAGAAGTAGAGCTTGAAACTTCCACTTGTACTTGAGGTAAATAGAGACAAAGGCCAAGAGAACAGAGGCTGAACTTGGATCTGATCAGATAACGGAGCTGCCCTGTGGGATAATCAAGGAATCCCAGTGTTTACTGGCCAAACTAGTTCTTGTCATTAAAAACAGAACCAGCTGAGAACAATGCCCTTTATTTTCACACAGTCATTGTTGGCCCTTAAGATCCCCCCTTTGAGGGAGAGGGTTTTTAACTATTCCTTCCAAAAGAATTTCCAAAGGCAACTTCTGAAGTACATTTCATGGCCACAGTTTATCATTCCAATGTAGACAGACTTAGAAGGATATGTTTAGGTATTTTGAAAGAGTAGCG